ACCTGCAGGAAGTGATAGGAGGAGAGAGGAGAGGGACGAGAAAGCACAAGACTACCGGAAAGGGGAGAAGTTGTTTTAGTAACATGCAATAATGGGATGAGGTTGCATACAGAGGGAGAGAAAGTAGAGGAGAGAGGAGCTCAGTGCATCATAGGAAATCCCCCGGCAGGCCTATAGCAGCATAACTAAGACTAAGATAACACTACTGAGAGGGACAGAGAGCAGAGGAGAGTGGAGGTGAAGCGGTAAGCATGGAGTAGCTCAACCAGTAGGGAGGGAGCAGGGAGGTAGGGTCATAAGTGTCATTTAAACTGGGGACATGTACCCACCATTTTTTGAGAGTATTTGTGTGGGGGTTTGTGACCATTTTTTAAATTTGGTTTCATGTTGACAGAAACATGACAGTATACATATAAAGATATACAAATGTACACACCTTCGTTCCCTCATTTACTCACCTCAACCTACACACAAAACACACGCACGCACGCATACATATACACACAAAGCTTTCTGACAAATAGCAACAAAAAATGATAAATAACAATAATAGAAATGCTAAGAGAAAGGTTTATTTGCACAACAAGAAAACATGCACTGCAATGTAAAGATAGAAGAAACAGATCTGCCTTGTCCAAAAAATAACATAGGCTAAAAAAGCTTCTGATTACTGCATTATATTCTATAATATCTTTTATAATAAAACAAACTATTCTGTGGTTAGGTCGATGTCACTGTAGCTTTGAATATATAGCTAATTACAAATTAGTTATTTTGTTAGAATTCAAACCAAACAGAAAAAATTTAACCCTTTTAATTCTGTTCTAAGTTTCGTTGTTGCATCCTTGTTGTTGCTATATAATCAATGATTGTTTTGTCTCATATTTATCCTTATTAACCCTTTACTTGTCTTCACCTTAGCAGTAAATAAATATTTTCACGTTGACTACAGGAACGTGTGTGTTTGTGCTGTTTATAATACTGGTGAATGCATGGAGGATTCGTTCCTTAGATTTGAGATTGATTATTAATAACTAACTATAATTATTAAACTATACCCAAGGATTCCTAGCACCAACTAGCAACACTAGTTGATGCCCCCTTCGAACAAGTGCTTATGAAATTAATATATCCAAGTATTAAAAATGTTCTTTGCAAAGTATGGGTTCACTACAATACTAACAGATGAAGTTCAATAAAAACAAATGATTTTGTCCTGCCTTTAGAAGGCCAGCCACACTCCAGGGATTTATAATGTCTTCTACTTCATGTATGATTTAGACTATGAATGAAATTTAGAATACAAGTTAGATACCGGGTTTATTCTTTGTTCATCCTGCACTACAGCAGCTAACAAGGGAAAAGCTGTAGCTGAGTAGAAAACAAACTTACCTTTCTCAAGAAATACAGTAATGTAATAATATCACATATACTGAATAAGACACACATTACACAAGATGAATAAAGTCTGCTCAATCACATTTATGTAATAACAATCAAATTTAACAAAAGCATCAAATTCGGCTTATAATAAGTATTGTATTTTTGCTTGTCACCATTATTAGCTTAAGCCTGTGGCATTTTAAACTGCATAAATTAGCATAGCTGCTGGCGGACTATTTTTCTACTCATAGCTTAACAAATTACATGTACTATTCATACTATTTCTTACTCACCACTGGTTAAGTCACAGCATCTCCTGATGCGGTTGAATTTCCAGCCTGAATGTAGATTTTGTTGAAACAGAGCAGCTGAAAGTCAGACTCTGTTCTCCATGGCACAGGGCCGAGGTTAACCCTGACAAAACGTAAACGGTGCTGCCTTGAAGCGCACTTACTGCCTTTTTAAAGTGGCAATATGTAGTTTTCAGCAGCCACTAGCGGTACGGTTTTTAGGCACAGTTGCAACCAGGTGTGTGCTTGTACGTGTGCTAGGACTCACGAGTGAGCAAAATTCATACCAAAATTACACCTAAACACAACCAAAGTTATACACTACAGTCACACAAACTAATGATCTATAAGGAAATACATACAAAGAGACCTGTTGGCAAAAATACTTGCAATGCTCCTTTTTACTCTCTCCCTCTGTGTGTGTGTGTGTGTGTGTATGTATGTCTGTGCGCAGTGAAGGCTTAAACCCAACCGCGCAGTTGAATGAATAGTTTGCTAGTTCAGACCTGTCTACAAATATATTCATTCAAATGAATGTAGTATTAAAAATAAAAAATCTGATTTGAAATATGTTATCTTTCTTATCTTAAATGTCAATCTCCAGTCATCCATCCCTTTTCTCACCATGGATGTTTGCTGACAATATCGCTTGATATGCCTCCACTTCTTGAGAAGTAGTATGTTGAAATCATTGATGCAGGATAGGAGCATTACATGTCTTGACAACTACAGTCTGATAACACTTGTATACTGTATACTATGTATATTGTATACTCCCCAAAAGGGGCCTATGATCCTGGGTTGTTTTTTTTAATTGGTGCATTGATACAAAACCTGAATGACTGCTATGTCTACATGCAGGTACTTGCAGCTGGACTTGAAATTACACTATCTTGGGGATCACTATGATGTGGCTGTTTTCTTAGCTGCTTTCGGTTAAGTGTTGACAACTACAATTACTTGTAATGTTAATGTAAAATTAGCCAAATCCATTAATTGTTAGTGCCGCAACAAGTCCATCCATCGTCGACCGTGCAGGGTTGCGAGGGGCTGGAGCCAAACCCCAGCTGCCATCGGGCGAAAGGCAGGGTAAACCCTGGACAGGCCGCAAATCCATTGCAGGGCCACACATAGACAAACAACCAGTCACACTCAGACCACCCGGAGAGAACATGCAAATTCCAAACAGAAAGGCCGGCCACGACCTTCTTGCTGTGAGGCAACAGTGATAACCACTGCCCCACCGCGCCGCCCTCAGCAAGAAGGGTCAACCTGCAAACATGTGCAATTGTGTTTATTGGATAATGTGACCAAACTGGTGGCATTGCTAATGGGAATCACAGTCACAAACCCATGGGATTTGTGGTTGCTGATGACTTAACAAGAGTCTACAGTCGTGCAAGCTGCACTGTGAGGCTGTGCCTAAAGGAGACCTGTTATGCTTTTTATGACTAATCTACAATGTTATAATGTTGGATGTTCATGTTAAGCATAGCCAAAGTTTCAAAAAATGAGGTTAAAGCATTTATAAGAAATAACTGTGAGCAAAAACCTCAGGTTTCCTCCTGTTCTGAACGCTCTGTTTTGAACTGTTTTTCTACCAACAGCTCTGTTCTACGTATTACCGAGCCAGACCGAGTCAGGGTTCCATATATGCTCATGTGCTCCCACACTTAGGCCCTTTTGCCAGCTGAAAACGACACCTGCTGTTCTGAAAACGCCTAGCTGTGAGCGCTAGGGTGCGTTTTGGAGGTGCCGTGTTTTTTTTCGAGATGATGGTTGCTATGATACATAATTTCCGTGGAGGCAATGTGTTGCAAGTAGGGTAGCCTACTTAATTTTAGTGAATGTAAAAATGTCACCACAAAGTATGTAGGCCTACTTGCTCTGGCCCTTGCTCTGCATGAAGAGAAGGCTGAAACATGAGAGCACAGACTCTCCATACGTGGGTTCATGAGATTTTGTGTGCGAGGTATCACCTCAGCGAGTAGGCACATCGTTTCGTTCAAAATTGGATGTGCTCGGAACGGTGTTTGTCCTGCCCCTCCTGCACTGTGATTGGACGGCTGGGTAAAAAGTGACAGTGACAATTGCAGCGTTTTTCCCAAAGATGAACATTTTTTCAACTCTCGGCGACCAGAAAAAAACGCTCAGCGCCCAGCACCAAGTGCAGAAAAGGTGCTCCTGGAATGAATTGAAAAAAGGCGTCAGAAAAAACGCTTTGGTGGACACGGGCCCTAAGGGCAGGGCAACGTTCAGTCTGCCTGTTCCACCCAGCAAAAACAACAGCCTGGTAACATGCTTCAGGTCCTGGCCAATCAGAAGACAGTGGGCTTTGAGAGGGGGGTCCTTAAAGAGACAGGAGCATCTACAGCTTGTTCAGACAGAGGCTGAAATGAAGGCCTACATGAAGAATTAGTAGGCTATAACAAAAAAAAAACATTTTTAACTTTGAATCATGCAAAGCTGCCATACAGGATCACAGAACTACAATATAGGACTGGAAAAACAGTATAATAGGTCTCCTTTAATGCTAGTGTGGCGGTACATGCTCACACTGACAATGATAACATGCTGATGTTGAGCAGGTATAATGTTTATGAGGGTCATTTAAGTTTAGCATTTGCTAATTATTAATAAACACAAAATACAGCTGATGGGAATGTATGTTATTAGCAAATATTTCGTCATCAACCGAGTACTGGGCAAATTGGAATGATGGTGGGGATGGAGGAAAAGTCGGACAATCACCCAAGTTGTAAGGATCATTAGCATCATCTGGGCACCATGGATATCTGTACTACATTTCATAGCAGTCCATCCAACAGCTGTCAAGATATTTCAACCAAATTAAACATCAACCTACTGGTGGCACCAGAGAAAAAATCATGGGATGACTAAAGTCATTGTGATTCATCCTCTGGGGACCATGAATGTCTATACATAATTGCATGGCATCTATCGGGTTTTCTTTGAAGTGGCCTCTATTTAACTGCCTCTGTGAGCTCAGCTCAGTGGGTGGAGGAGCGTCTTACTAGATTTCCTGTGATTGTGGTTGGGGCCCTTCCTGTGTTTACAGTACAAAGACAGGAAATGTTGTCTGGATTGACATGAATGTCCTTGGCACTTCCAAAACAGCACATACAGGGTACTTAAACACACACAGGTTATGCACAAGTATCTCCAAATCCACTATGTTTTATACTTTTAACTTGTTTTAACTTCTGTTTGACTGTTTCATTCGTGGAACAAAATACAAAGCAATGGCTTTAGTAATGCATTAAACTGCATAGTTATCAGTTTTTTATGTATATATTTAAGGTAGATATGAGGTATATATTTTACCATTCAACTCCTTTTTGAATGGTAAATTGTAATGTGGGTTGTTCTGAACAATACATGTAAGTGAACAATCATACATCATTTTTACTTTGTGTAGTCATATACGTATACTCTCCTGTAATTCCCACCAGGAAGAACTTTATATGATAAAATCATACCATATCTCCTACTGTAAGGCACTACAACCACAAAAGTAAATAATAAAGTTTCATCTTTAATGATGATCACACAGTTAGAGGCATAATAAATACAATCAATAATTAATCTGAGATTCTGATTTAACAATTTATTACACTGGATGATTATGATATTAATATTACTACTATAAATAATAAAGTGTAGGGTGACTGTAATCTCTGTGGCAGCAAGGTGGCAAAGGTCCCAGGTTAATTCTCTGGAGCAGCTAATTGTGTCCATCTACAGCATCCAGCTGTAATGCCAAAGTGTCTTACACACTGACCCCTGCATGTTCATGTATTGTAAGGCCCCACAATTATGGGAGTCAGCTTAAATGCCTGGGGCCGGAGACATCTGTAGAAGCAGTCAAAACACTGTGCAGCCTGCCATTGTTTTCTATTTCAAAACGGAACTGGCCAGCGGGGGAGGAAAAAAAGAACCCACAACTCCTGTTAAACATAATTTCCGTCTTTAGTTTAGTCAGGATACAGAGCACCAATGTTAGTTTCAGACCCACACCACTTGATTTTAGCTGCGAATGGGCAACCACGTATCGGTCACATTTTACCCAAAAACACCCAGGGACCATCTGGATATTAGCTAATTTGTTGATCTTTATATCAATTATGTTGTTGATTTTTCTACTGCAGCTCATCAACAGCTTTGAGGGTTTATCTAGAGCTAAACATGAGACCCTGTGCACCTCTAACGCCTGCTTCACCCTGCATATGAACAGGGTGAGCTTTGGGGATGCCCGTCAGAGCTGTGTGGACAATGGAGGTTATCTGATGACAGTCAGAGACAGAGAAGAAGAGGATGTGCTGCGTTCACTTCTCTCACACATCCAAAGACAACATCACGACAGGGCACTTAAATTTTGGATTGGATTAAAACTGCACAGCGGGGACTGCGTGTTACATGACAAGAATCTCAAGGGGTTTAAGTGGGTTTCTGGCGAGGAAGATTCCCACTACTCCAACTGGGGAAAAGAACCTGACGCAACATGCACAGCGGAGAGATGTGTTCATTATACTTTATCAGATCAGAACCAACTGAATTGGATTGATGGACCTTGCAAAAGGCAGTTTTTTTATGCTTGCAAGTTTTACTTTAAGGGAATGTGCAAACCGTTGGCTCTGTTGGGGCCTGGACAAATAACCTACATAGCGCCCTTCTCAGATGAGCCACAGAGAAGTGAAATGCAATCATTTCCACTCGGAACGTATGCTGAAATTGAATGCAGTGACAAAGCACCTAAGTACTCTGTATGCAACAGGATTGGAGACATTTATCGTTGGAGTGTCCCTGGTCCATTTTGCAATACAGGAAAGCAAAACTGCACAATAAACAATGGCAGTGGTGACACCTGTGAGCATCAGTGCGTAATGGGGGAGTCAGGATATTCCTGCACATGTCCTGATGGTTTCAAACTGGATGCAAACCAACGCAGCTGCTCTGACATTGATGAGTGCCAGTCACAAGTCTGTGGGCATCATTTCTGTTATAATACGCCTGGCAGTTACACGTGTGAGTGTATAGACGGCTACGAAATGGTCGACGGTAAGTGCAGTGATATGGATGAGTGCGTGCAATCAAGATGCGAACACAGCTGCTTGAACAGTATTGGATCTTTCTCTTGTTACTGCAATAAGGGGTTCAATTTATCCGAGGATGGCCACTCGTGTGTAGACATAAATGAATGCGTCAGTAATCACTGTCAGTTCAATTGTGTCAATACGCTAGGCAGCTTCTTGTGCACATGCCCGCAAGGCTTCCACATGGAGACAAATGGATCAAGTTGCGCTCCAGATATGAAAGAGACAGCTGTTTCATCAGACGGCCCAGCTGAGGAGGAAACACAAGAAAACTTAACAGAGTCTTTGACCAGAAACACTGTCGAGCTTCAACACCAGTCCCCCCACACTGAAGCACCGCTTCCACAACTGGTGAACGTCACGCACGGTAATCCACAGAGCAACACATCCTTGGTGACAAGTTTTGTCAGTACTGTTAATTCCAGAGTGATCATCTGCGTCCTTGGTTCAGTCATTCCTCTGCTGCTGCTGGTTGCAGTGACTCTGGCTATTGCAATTTTTCGATGCAGTCGCTCTAAAAAAGAAGCCAAGAAAAATACCTCCACGGATCGCTACTGTTGGGTGTCCTCTGGTTTGGATCCACGTTTAGAAAAACTATATGAGTCCATCTTGACTGATGAACCATGACCTGATAGCGATGTAGAAGACCTGGGTTATTGTGTTTATTTATGTAATTTATGTTCTTGCAACCTCGCAAAAAACTTTGTCCATCAGATGGTGATTTGTTTTTGGCAAAAAGCAAAAACACATATTGTGTAGAAATATAGTGGGTAAAAAATAGAAAAATATGCTAAATCTGGCTGTGCAAGAACTATCAAAGTGCAAAAATGTGTTATAGGTGTTGATGGTATCAAGGAGATATGAAGGGATTTGTATGACGAAGCTGACTGGGTTTTGAGAACTGATCTATTACTAGATGCCATTTGATTTGAGAAAGTTGTGATGTAAGAAGTTGAAAGTGAGCAATTTAACGTTAAGTTCAGTCAGCTAATGTTGACATTTGTCTACAACCGACTACATTTTCTGCTATTTTACCTATAGATGTGTTTGAGTACTAAATGTGCCACTGCCTGCTCACTAAATCTGTGACACATCATAAAGCATCACACACATATACCTCCCATTGACCCCGTACCCGAGAAACCGGAGGCCCCCAGTGAGTAACGTTAATTACATGACAGTGTTTGGAGCTGGTCCCCATGGAATTCCCATTACAAGCTCCTTTTTTGGGCCACTTAGCGGAAACAAGTTGAAAACAACATGTGGTTTACATAAGTCCATAATATTCATTCTCCTTTAGCTCCATTTTTGGTCTCTGGGAAATTTCTGACTCTTGAGCTGCTAAATGTGTTCGCTAGCTTGTAGCTAACTGTGTGCTGTTTGGTGCTGAGCAGATAGTGTACTGTGAGTTTTTAGAGCTTTTTCTCTGAAAAAAACTGCCTGCTGCAGCTGAGAACAACACTATGAGAGCGGAGAGACTGAACCAAAACAGTAAAGTTGCATTGTCATTTGATACACTATAATTATTGATCATAGCCGTTTTGAATACATGCAATATTTGCATTTGAAATATAGTGAAGTACCTCAACATTGTATGAAAATACAGTACTTGAGCAAATGTACTTACTTTCCACCACTGGCACAGGGATGTATTTATGCACAAACCAAACTAAACACATTTTACTGCTCTATTATCATATCTGATACTGGTGTAAATATGATACTGATAAACATGTATCAGAGTTTCACATCAATATATGTTATATGATGACAAAGTCATGCTAGAAGTCAACGACAAAGTAGTTTGTTCCAAAGTATTTTTTTGTTCGCATGTTTTGTTTATGTTTTCATTATGATGACAATTTTCTTCACTAACCTTGGGGGAAAAAACACTAGCACATTTTTATCTCACTTCCTTCCGGTCTTTAACTTTGTCATTGTTCTGAGGGATGTTTTTTCCGGAGTAGGTAGCCACAGGCTCTCACTTATCCATTAATTTGGCCAGCCAACATTGTTAGAGGATCTACTGCAAGACATCATGGCCCGCTTGCATCTCACTGTGTTTGTGCCATTGAAGGTAATGACAATAACTATTTTAATGTCAGTTATTTTGTTGTTGTCTATTGAGACAGGATTTGGCCTGAAACAGACCTGTAGGCCTTTTTGTACTGGGAGTGACTGCATAACTGTAAACCAAGAAAGAGTGGATTTTAAAACAGCTGAGGAAGCATGCCATGACAGGAATGGAGAGCTCTTGACATTTCTGTCTGAGATAGATGAGACCATCCTTGACATTTTGAGTCAAGATTTATATGGAAACTTCTGGATTGGACTACATTTACCAGCTGGAGCCTGCAGCAACCTTTCAGCTCCACTGAGAGGCTATGAGTGGACCTCTGGCAGCATGCACCCGAGCTTTATTCCATCTTCAATCACCTGGGCAGACCGTGTTAAAGTCTGCTCTCCACGCTGTGTGACATGTTCAAATGGCCAAAAGTGGACAGAGAGGCTGTGCTCGGACAAGACGGATGGCTTTCTGTGCAAAACAAAGCACAAAGATGCATGCCAGGCACAAAAATTATCAGATAAAAATTTTTTCCAGAGCTCCAAAGGCTGTTCAAGTGGCCCCTGTGAGCATTTATGCACAGATGTAAAAGGTGGTTATAAATGCTCTTGTTACAGAGGATATATCCCAGACAGCAAGGACCTGAGCAGGTGTAAAGTGCACTGTGGGGGACAGAAATGCCATGCGATATGTGAGGGAGACAATGACACATGCTTCTGTCCTGATGGCTTTCTTCGGACTGGTAAATTTTGTGAGGACATTGATGAATGTATCATGGACTGGTGTGATCAAGAGTGTAAAAACACTTTTGGAGGTTTTGTGTGTTCCTGCAGAAAAGGATTTGTACTTGATGATAGTAAAGTCAATTGCATCAAAGCACAGGACAGTGAAAGCTTTGTGATCACAACCCCTATTGCCATAGGTTTTGTCGCAAACAATACTACACTGAAGGTTTCTTATGCAAACACTGGTGGTTTCCTCTGGCTGTGGATTTTTGTTGCTTTGACTGTGGTAGTGTCTATATTTGTGATACGGTTTTATGTTGTTAAGCGTCAGAAGCGGAGAGAACAAAACTCTACTGCTCCTGTGGACAATATTGAGTGTTAAATCAAGTCTAGGAAATGATGAACACTAACTCCACCGGTCTCTTTAGCATTCACAATTTGGGAGACTTGCCCATTACATTTATCAGATTGCTGCTGTGGGAAAGATCTCAGAATTAACTCTTCTGATTCAGGTCTCTGATTTTTGAATATACAGAGGTAATGTATTATAAAATATCAATAATATTAATAATATATTACATTTGAAATGTAGGGGGGTATGGATAATACTTCTTCCAGAAATGGATATACACTACTTTATTCCTAACTCCTAATTAAAAGCAGCTCTTAATTCAAATAAGAAGTCGATTCAAATTTTAACTTTAATTAAAGTACTTATATACGTTTCAGGACTATAAAGTTGTCTGTGTCCCAGGTGGAGCTGAGAGTTAATTTTGATATACCGCTTGGTAGCTGATATATATTAACTCTTGTTTTTTTAACTCAGCATATGTTTCTTTAGTAAAATGTTTATCTGCATTAAGTAAACCTTTCAGTCAAAAGTAAAATGGAGTTGATTAGAAAAAAGTCCTAAGGGAAAGTGCCAGCTCCTTAATATGTTACTTTCATTCATTACCATAAATGTGGACTGTGTTCTTTTCAAGGTTTTTTCTTTATAGCATAAACATATTTTTTGTGTGCATGTGCATTTAACTTTGTAAAAGATGAGTTTTGAAGTACACAAGTGAAATTGCTTGTAATATGGAACAATAGAGGGAGATTTCATGTGTCATTCTCTGTCATTCATTCACTCATAAAAACAATTCATTGTCGTCATCATTCTCATCCTCAGAGTGCCACTGCCGCCTAGTGTTCTTTTGAATAAACTGCTGAAGAGTCACATGTGGCTTCCTGACTGTTAAACGTGCATGCTTCTAACAGATTAAAAATAGCAATGAAACAGGCCGTTTTCATGGAAGAGACATATGTCACAGTAGCAAGGTCACAGAAAAATAATTGATCAAATTTATTTACACCAGTGCTATTTTATTTAAAATAAAATTCCACTCTATACACCTGTGTTTTTCACACAATGAGAAGTCATTTTGTCTTCTGTAAAAACAAATGACCAAATGCATCAATTCCATATTGTTTACATATTGTCATATGGTTTTAATTTAATTAAAAATTAAAAGTCAGTCAGTGGTTTTCTGTACACACTTCACAAAATTTATTTTCCTATTGTCCACTATTGGAGCCTCAAAAAGTGCAAGCAGTTTAAAAGTTAAGATTAATTTGCCTTTGTATTGCTCTTTGATACAATATTACATTACGTTCATTAACACAATAAAGTGAGTCCATTATGCTTAAGATGGGCATTAAAGTCAGCTTAAGGAAGTGTTATGCAGATAGTAACTGATTAGAGTTCTATTCCCAACAAAGCAAAGGGTCTCTGACCAGAGGTACCAGTCGAAACTCTTTTTCTGCCTAAACCCTAAACATGTTCTACTACCTACTGAATAAACAGTAACCTCTTCCTGTTTTGTACCCTAACTACAGTGTTGATGCTTTAAATCGTATGATAGTCTTGCAGCAATTAAACAAATGCCAGTACTACTGGACTCAAACACAACCAGGTGGACGATGGCTACTTTCTTTTACAGATTCAATGCACTGTTCTCAGAGATTCTAATCTGTTCTCATTAGTTTTGCATTCTGGGATTTCTTATACACTTTTAAGGAGGGAAAGATCTGAAATGACGGAACAGCTCTAAAGAGCCCAAACCAGGGAAGAATGGGTAAGAAAGTATGAGAGCTCGACACCTGCACCTTGCATTTTACTTCCTGTTTGTCTGTCTTTGTTTCTCTTTCTCTTCCTGTAGGCTGCCCACAATGAGCTGCTAATTGTACCGTTTTTACAGTGCTGTGCGATATATGTGTTTATTTTACAGTTTACCTTTTTGTGGACTTTTTCACATCAGAAACGCAGACCATCATTTTGGCAATGTAATGTCAGTAATAGTCTGACACCGTGAACCAGTCTTGACTTTGTGTGGGTGAATTAGTCACAAGTGTGCCAGCAGAGGGCACTTGACAAAGAGCATTGGGAATCACAGCAGATTTATCTTGCAGTTTTCCACAGCTGTCCCCAGATGTTATTATTATTTAGACATATTTAACTGACAGCGCCTAACCAACCATCAATAACCAAGTTCTACCTTTTCAATATGACCTACAGCTGAGTAGTCACTCCCTATAGTTCCAGAAACTGTTGGTGTGGAAAAGGTCAGATCGATAGTTTTCAAGTACTAAAATATATTGAATAAACTTAAATAAAATCATCATATCATGATATCTTTCTTGATATTAGGCCTGACTTTACTGCTGCCATCTTTACTTTCTGACTGTTTGACACCTTTTTGCCTTTGGCCTAGTCTTCAGCAAATAAAATGCATGCCCAGTTGGATTTCAGGAAGTTGAAGTTCTAAAAGTTGCCGTGTCACCTAACCTGCAATATTATGATCTCATTTGTGTTATTCAGCTAGGATTTTAAAATGATAGTATGATTGAACATTTTGTTTGTTGGCCAAGCCTTCAAAACACACTTAGTTACCTAAATATAATAAGTCTGCCAATTTCAAAATCTCACACACACAAATAATGTTACTAGTTAACCTGTTTTAAAAAATAGAGTAGCCTGAAATGGAAAATCAGTATGTATCAGCTGAGTAGATAAGTTATTGTCTCCGTGATTACTATTGATAGAACTGGAATTTTAGGCGACTATATGACCTTATCATGACTGTTTATGCTCTCTTTAAAAAGTGTGTGTCTGTGTTTTTGACAAAGAGAGAGCATATTGTAGCAGTGGTAATGTTGATAAGACCGGATGGTGCAAACCTGACCTGGATGGCACTGGTTGTGGCTGACATAATAACCTCACCTCTTTCATCAGCCAATCACAATGGGACGAGGTAATCATTAGGAAAGGTACAAAAACAAAAGGTTTGTTTGGCTTGTGTGTGTGGCAGACAACCAACACTTTTTATTTTGGTTACATTTAAGTTCCTTTGTTCTTGTTCTTAATTTTATTGAACTTACTATGCATCATGATGCTCTCTGCTTTTCGAGTTAGTTGTTGCATAAAATTGCAAATAAACCTTACATTTTTTAACTGTATTATTATTATTATTATTATTATTATTATTATTATTATTATTATTATTAATATTATTATGTTGTAAAACCTTCACTCGTTTCATCTTAAATGTGTCCAAGCTGCATGATGAAATGATGAAATGTTTGAGGGGGAGAGGTCTCTGACCATGCTTAACCTAAAGCTGCTTTATCCCTGACTTTAGCCTTACAGGCAACCCGTTCTCCTGGGCAGCGTAAAAATTGTGTCTTTTTCAGCAGTCTAGCGAAACCCTAACATCAAACATGTCCCTACACATCTATTACCTAGAGTATCTGATATACTGACCTTGTTAAAGGTTACTGTATAATGTAGCAAAGTGTGATCATGACCCTGGGAGGTTATGCTAAGGGGAAAAAGTAGCTTCCACGACGTCGACGTCTGCTAACGTCAACACGGAAGTGGGGTCCGTCTCCACTTGCTTCATAACGGCTCTGCTTCACCCTATCAGAAAGTAGGCGTCAGTCCACAGCGCAGTGTCATTGGGTTAAAGTTTGTCCGCCCTACTTGCTCATATAAATAACAACAACCGAAAACTGGGCTAGCATGTGGAGACAGCACCTGTCAGACGTGTAGCTCATTTCCATACATATTTAAAGCAGACACTTCACTGAATACCTTCGTTTGCCCTGTAAGCTAAGTGAAACACTCTGGTAGGGACAAACAGCAGCATGTCGGTCGACAGCGTGTTTAGGACCCGCTCTCTCGGCGTGGCCGCGGAGGGTCTTCCTGATCAGTATGCCGACGGCAAAGCAGCGAAAGTCTGGGAGCTGTACATCGGAGACACGCGGAGTAGGACACAGGAGTACAAAAGCTGGGTGGTGTCTTTGCTGAAAGAGCAAGGGGTGCGGAGAGTGCTGGATGTAGCCTGCGGAACAGGGTAATACGACATGTTGTGACAGGTTCTAGCTTTGACTGGCAACGTGTCACAAAACGTCATTGAAAATAAGTTAAATTTAATTCATACTTGTGTTTCAGCAACCGTAATACTCCTACTCCAAACATTTATACATGGTCTATTTTTATACAAGCCAATCTTTAATTCGGCGTTGTTCTTTACTCCAAGTCTACATTATTTAAATAAAATGTCAATATTGTTGACTTACTTCCTTTTATAGGAAATTTTGATTTGTGGTAAAATCAGAGCTCTATTGAAATGGTTGGTTGAATCGGTGTGACCATTCTGAATGTACTGAACGATCAGCTCCAAAGCAGAGTCTTATTTGAAATGGTTTTTTGTAAAATATATAATATATACTTTAATAATAACATATACTTTACATAGCTATAGACCAATATAGGGATGTTTAAACCTGCACAAAGCAGTTCATTCCACATTGTCTTGTACGGGTTCAAAAGTTTTAAAACTGCCTTTTGTTCTACAATAAATAAGTTAGATTATGTTTAAAGGTAATCAGGTTAGTTTGACTCCTGGAATTTCAACCCACTGACACTTTAAACTCTGGACAAAATCCGGATTAGGCCAGAGAGTAATGAATGAAAGTGCAGAGTTGCACCAGACACTGTGCCAGTTCCTGCCTCCAGCAACAGCCTGGAGCTGGGACCATGAGCTGAGACAAATTGAAGTGTTTATTGTTAAAACTAAGACGGCTTATTCTGCCTAAATGTACTGTATTGTTTGTAAAACTAGAAGCCAGCAGTGGGATGTCGCTTATGCAGGATAGCAGATGTAGGAGTCAGTGGATAATGTGCTGGTTCTGTGTTTACCTCTGCTGATAGTGTATCTGAGCTCTGGGACAGCAGCAAGGCCATTGGCTGAACTCAAACAAGAATATATGTCTACCTAGCCCCTCAGTTTACCTCAAATGGTCTTTTTATCTGGGAGCAATTGTGCTGGAGATGTAATATTATAAAATTTTTTTTTACTCACCTAAAACAAATTACAGCTGCCTCTGTTTGGCTGATGAATATTAGGGAGCTAATGATCTTTATCATAACCCCCATGTCAAAAGTAAACACTGTAAAGCGTCATATGTGACAGAGCACTGGCTGCTGGGATCCAGTAGGGAGGTAATCAGCCCGCCGTCTTTGACCGCACTCCATAATATGTCTCCGTGGCGCGTGACCATCTGGGGCGATGTAAACACGCTCGTAGTGGAATGAGGTTACAAATGGCCTCACTATTTTTGGCTTTGACATCGTATGCAGAAGCTGTAGAAGCTGCAGATCATGCTTTCAGTTGAAGATATAATCATCAGGGTTTGCACATGAATTGCCTTGGTCTGAAGCATATAGGTTCTGTTTTTGCTTTTTTTTTGGGCTTGAGATCTATGTTGCGTAACTGCAAGTGAATAAGTGGCTTGTAAAAATGTTACCTTAATCTCAAGTATGAGGTTTACCTTGAGCTACAATTAGATCGTTTTACTTTGTATTCTTACAGTTGGTTTGTCCTCCCACCATCCACAGACATGCAGGAGAGTCCAAACAAAACACAACAGCCTCAGTTCAGACTGTGTTTTGTACTGGGTTCATGTTGTTCTGTCAAGCTGTCTAAGCACGAGAAGCTACTGTCTATCAAATACTAACCGTCTCTTAAAGACCTGTGAAACATGAAGGTGTGGATGTATGATGAAGTTCCTCCTGACAAATTGCACTGCTGTTTCAAGATGAGGAAAACTAGATGACAGGAATATTGGCACATTTGTTTCTGTTCTGGGAGCGCACTTTCTTGTGTGAATAATCAACCTCAAGTATGCTCACTGTGAACTTACTCCTATTCAACTCTGGCAAACTGGTTAGACATGGAAGCGTCGATTGTCTCTTGAAACAAGCTTGCAAAGCAGGTTCTCAGGTGAACAAGATAAAGATAGTACAGTTAATGAAGTCGCCATAGCATTGTATTCACAGAGCATATGTGTTTTCTTTTTTAGTGTTGACTCCATTATGCTGGTGGAGGAGGGGTTTAAAATGGTGAGCGTGGATGCCAGCGACAAAATGCTTAAGTATGCACTGAAGTCCAGATGGGAGAGAAGAAAAGAAGCAGCGTTCGACCAGTGGGGTACTGCATTTTTCATTTGGTTAAGTGTGTAACTCTATATTAAGAATATTTGCACCATCTTAAGATAGTCCTGATTTTCCAAGTCATGCACAAAAACACTTGAAAGAGATAAAACCATTGTCCATACTGGATTGAATTCTTTGCCTGAGTCCAGACCTTTGCATCCGCCCACTCCACCAAGTTGCCTGATTCTGTCTGTCTGACATCTGACCAGTCACACTGTCACTGTCCATTCCTGCAGTGTGTATCAGGTGACCTCATGTTTCTATTGTGTTTTTACCCTTTGGTCGTTCTCTTCCCTCTCATCCTCAGTGATTGAAGAGGCCAACTGGTTGACGTTACCAGAGGATATTCAGAAACCAGGGGATGGCTTTGATGCTGTTATCTGCCTTGGCAACTCATTCGCCCACTTACCAGACTTTAAAGGTACGTGAGAGATAAAGGGACAGGGCCGTTTCTTGTTCTTGAATGTGGAAGGTAAGATTCTGGGTCACAATTTTCAAATCACTATTTTCACGTTTTTCATGCCACCAACATAATCTCTTATTCAAACAATGTGATTTAATTAAAGGTCATTCTGTTTGATCATGTTAGTGATGTTTTATTGCTTTTAGGGGACCAGAGTGACCAAAAGTTGGCCCTTCACAACATTGCCAGTATGGTGAGACCAGGTGGGATCCTCATCATTGACCACCGTAACTACGACTACATCCTAGAGACTGGCCGGGCGCCACAAGGCAAAAATATCTACTATAAGGTACTAAACTTCATCGAGTTTGTTCCAGAGGGTGCAACTTGACATGTAGGTGGATCATTTTCTAACCCATCCAACCTCATTCCCTGCGGTGGTGGACGAAGTATTCAGACTTTTACTTAGTTGCAACCTAAGTAAGTACTAATATTACACTGTAAAAATACTCTGTTACAAGTAAAAGTACATTATTAAAAATGTTACTTAAGTATGTAATTATAATCAGGAAAATGTAGTGAAAGCATTAAAAGTAAGTCCCCTATGGCTATTATACTAGTATATTAAGTATTATATCATGAGATTATTATTACGCGTACGTACGTACATTCATGTAAAAGCCGGATTTTACTGCTGTAGTTGTTGAGGTGGATCTTATTTTGAACTCTTTTGTGTTGGACTGCAACTAATAATTATTTTCATTATGAACTCATCTGCTGATTATTTTCTCCATTAATCGATTGTTTGTAAAGATTCTAAAAAATAGTGAGAAATGCCATCACAATTACCCAGAGCCCAAAATGACACCTTCATAACCCTTTTTTTGTCCGACATTCTTAACCTCAACGTTATTAACAATGAATTCCAATAATTTTTAAAAATAAAAGGAAAAGCAGCAAATCTGCTCAAAAATATGTGAAGCTAGAACCATGAAATGTTTTTGCGTGGTTTTAGTTGTACTTGTATAAACTGCTGGATAGTTTAATTCATAACACAACATCATATTTTCTAAACTCTTCATATGTTTTGTGTGTAAAATGTGTGTGGAATTTGTAAAGTAACTACTAAAGCTGTAAGATAAATGTAATGTAGTGAATTAAAAAGTACAATATTTCCCTTTGATATGTAGTGGAGGAGAAGTAGAAAGTGGCATGAAAAGAAAAAACTTAGTTTCTACATAAGTGCAGTACTTGAGTTACTGTATTTAGTTACTGTCCACCCATTGGTATCCAAATTTCTGCTGTCTTTCTGATTCATCTTGCACATGGTGTAATGTTTACACAATGGCGGCACGTTAGCAGAGCAGTAGCAGCAGCAGCAGCTTCACCCTCGCATGAACCCTTTTCTTCATTCAGGTGCTTTCATTGATATATTTTTTTTTATAACTTTTATAAAAGTGTAAGTGCTTAATACCTAGTACCTGTACTTCTGGCCTGGTCACACTGTCACTGTCCAACAAACAGAGGGGGATCAAGGAACCTGCATGATGAGGGTGGATCCCTGTCAGTTAATCCCCTTGCAGTCAAATGACAAACATTAGTTGGTGGCAATCACGTGGCTGTCCGCATCCTCAGGGAGAAACTGAAAAAAAAGCGCAAGGGCTTTTGTTGACCATGTAGTTGTTCTTACTTCATTCGCTTCTATATGAAACAGGCTAAAGTTTGGACTGATTCCCAGAGAAAAGTGAAATGCATAACAAACTTGCAAGAGCTAAAGCATCAGTGTGAACGGTACATAAAAGGCTGTTTTTAATCTACATTTCCGCACAGCAGTTGGACAGACCTTATTGTTTATGAATGGTTTGTTTACGCCATCACTAGCAGCAGCTGAGTCTAAGACCTAAATCTCTATCTCAGAGCCTGCCGGATATTGTGAGATTTTCGATGAAAGTCCCCCCAGAGAAACAGAAGGAAATTTGCATGAAATTGTCAATTTTTAAGACTATTTTGGCAAATAGGTAGAAGAACAGATCATGTCAGGCATATTGAGGTAAAAAGCGCCATTGAAAAGACGAGAGAAGTTAAGTGTGTACATATTTTTTTTGACTATGTATTTATTTAAAAAGGGACAGTGCATATTAATGAACATATTAGCTTTTCAACAAGGTAAATATGCCAGAATTAGCCCGAAGGCTATTTTCCATCTGTAGTCCCCGGCAGCTCGTCACAACGTAAAAGTAACACAGTTACAAATATTAAATTAGATATATAATAAAACACAATTTAAAAGACACCACAGTTTATAGACAGGGTTATGTAATATAAAGTGCTGTTTATGCAGCAAAGTGCCATTGTATGAAATTAAGTACAAATTAATTAAATTAAAGTGCTATTTAGTGCAGTAAAGTGCTGCATCTAGTACGGTATACAAACCCATACAAAACAACAGAGTCAGTTAGTGGTCACAAATTTAATGTGTCTTGAGCCATTGTTTGAGATGGTTCTTAAAACTGTAGAAAGTCAGATATTCCCTAACGGCTATATATATATTGTGGCTAAAATGCACATTTATATGTTATTATATATTTATGGAGTATAGTATCATGACAGCATATGTTTGGGTTCAGACAAGTTGCATTAAACACCCAATCCAGCAATTATTATTTGCAAAAACTGAAAGATATTATATGGAAATATACAGGGCCAACAGCAATGAGCCACATTTGATTTATGTTATTTTCCTCAAAGCAAGCTCCATATTCTTTAATCCAGCCAAAGTAGGAGCTATCCAGCTGGATAGCCTCAATATAAATACTAAGTCAACAGCCACACGCTAGACCAAAATCCACTTGTAATACCTCTGTAGTCCCAGAGTCTGCTCAGCTCTGTATTCCATAACGGCAAGAGTGCAGTCACTTCCAATCAGGCTTCAGTTCTGCTCACTCTACTTGTCACAAAAGTTGTGACAAGTAGTTTTTGGTGCTTTGCTTATTTATAAGTGTGTGTGTGTTTTGTGTCGTAGAGTGATCTAACTCAGGACATCTCTACTTCGGTGCTGTGGGTCAACAATAAGCCCCATATGATCACTCTGGACTACACCATCCACGTGCCCCAGGCCACCGTCCACAATCTCCCTGAAGTCAGGTAGGTTAGCACTCTACTCAGAGGTGTATGAGCACAAAACACTGACTGCAGCGTTACGATGCAACAGCAGTTTTCTCACATTCATGATAGAGAGACACTGGGAGGTAGCCAAAATGTATTAATTATTAAAGAATATGTTTAAACCAAAATCCACAGCAACTTACTAGGGCTGTGCAATGCCAAAGGAAATGGGAGTTACCATCTCCCACAGAAAACGCTGTTCCTGAACTGCCTGAAAACAGCCTGATTGAAGTCCAGCCTTTACTTTCGTAATCTATCTGCGTCATTATGTAACGTCATAATGCTCACCTAGCAGCAAGCACCCCCACCCTCCCTACAGAACGTTAGGCAGCCATTGGACATAAAGTTGTTACCGTGAAGCACAGTTAAAACTTCACGTATGAAAGATCAATTTGTTACAGATTAATGACTCACCACTCTGAAACTCTTGCTCCAGTCTATGTTGTGAAGCTGGTTTGGGAATATGTACGACTGAACTGAAGCCCCGACTTCTCAGGTCTATGAAATGTAAGATAAATACATTGCTTAGCTGCCACTGTTTGTTCAGGAGCTACAATCAATTTAGTTTGGCAACATTTGGCAACAGATTTAAAGCAGCAATTGCTGCCTGGCAGTGATTTGAAAACTGCAAAGACGCGCTATGTGAGACTTGTGAAAGAGTGATAACACTTAACTTAACTCTAATAACTACTATAACTCTTCTACCCATTAGGAGCAGGACAAAAATGAATGACACGGTAATAAGTATCTTGTAACAGCCACTGTCAAAGTCAACGACATAGGACAGTATCATGTTGGCTTACGACCACACGGTTTGTGTTTGATTATGAAACCCTGCCGTGACACACAGTACTTGTTAGGATATAATAATGACAGGGACGTGTGAGCCTTTGAATAAATGTTACCTTGCAGGCATTGCTTCTGTTTTTAGCCTGCGGTTTTGCATTTGACGATGTTTGTCTTACAGTCTGGGTTTTTTTTTCACTGGGAAGACTCTTTTATAATGTTGTTTTTCTGAAATCCCTCAAGGTTGACGGACTCTCTCACCAGACATGTTAGACACAATAAAAACAAGCAGAAATTCTAATGCGCTCTGTTTGTCTTCCCCAGTAAATTCCGTCTGTCCTACTACCCTCATTGTCTGGAGAGCTTCAAAGCTTTGCTGAAAGAGGCCTTCAACGGCAAAATGGAGCACAGCGTCTACGGAGATTTCAAGACGTATGTCCCTGGCCAGACCGAGGCCCCTTGCTACTTCATCCATGTCTGTAAGAAGACAGCCTGAGAGCCCTACCCGCCAACTTGCTACACACACACACACACACACACACACACACACTCACACTGCTAGGAAAATAATAGCTATCTGCCCTCTTTAAATGCCAACATGCTCCCACAGTCCTCCAGATTTGGGCAAAATTATACTTGTATATATTTAAAAAAGAATGTATATCTCTTTTATTTAGTGTGATGAGCACATGGCCGCTAAAATCATCCTGATAATTTATTACTTCAGTGTCCAGTGGTAATACATGAGCATACTTAAGAGTGGGCGCGCCAGTAGACAGCTGATGATTATTTAAGAAAACATATTGTCATTGATTTCCTCATGGCCGGGAAAGTTTTCATTTTCTCTAATGATTTTAAAATGATGTATGCTAAAATGCTAAAGCAACAGAGCATCTTTGACTCTTCTAGGAACAATTGGTTGATTCCGATCTCTCTTTTGACTTAAAACATAGTGTGTTTCTTAAGCTCTCAACTAGTAACAGTCTTAAAAGGTCAAAACTAATTTGCAAAATATATTCCAAATGTATCGGACCACGGTTTTGCTCCCCTGCTTCCCCCTTCTCTGAACTTTGATATCCACAATGAAGATGTTTCAAAGCGGTGCTGTATATTAGTGATATTCCTCACGATGGAATACTTGACATTAGTCGCCAGTAATGTACAAAGTGCTGTATTTAAAGACTCGAGTCTTTAAATACAGATAAAACTTCTGTGTTTTGTGAATACGGTAGCCTTTCTTTTTTGTGTATTTATGATCTGGAAAAGGAAAAAAGCTGATCTCATTCTGACCCACTGCCTTTCTTTAAGTCCAGGCAAATCCTTGATGACCACAGCACGATGGAAGTTTGAATTTTTCAATTCATTAGCATTACATTTAAGACAGTCCCCCCACTTTTTTTTGCCCAGTCGTAATCATGCCCAGTCACTGATGTCACTTAAATAAGACCAGAGAACAGCTGTAATAAAGACTGTAAATCCCCCTAACGCCTTGAAATGCCTGGTTAACCTATGTGGAGTCTCACACAGGTCAAAACAAGAAGCACCTGTGAGTGCAGTAATAATAAATGTCTTTGACAACCTCACCAAAACCCTACCAGCTCCAGAGCTAAATGACCTCTGATCTCTCTGAAGCTGAAAATCAATCAATAATTTTTCACTAAAGCCCGCTCTCGAGAGAACGGGTCCTCATATTTGGATGGAATGTGCCTTTTTTGTGTAAGAATTTAGGTTTTCTTTAACTGATTTGTCTTATTTTGTGGTACAATGTAAGTTGACTTTATTTGAGCCAAAAACAGCCATTTCATTTTCTGGTAATTATCATTAATGAACCTACAACCGGCCAGAAGTGAGCACCATTATAGGTGACAATAAATACCAAAGTTCTATACCCCTATGAGGATTCATCAGAAGCCTTTTAAGATGCCAATGTCATTTCATTTCATTTCAATTAGCTTTATTGGCATAAATGTTATGGTAAACTATGTTTCCAAAGCACAATGTCACTAAGCTGGGTTTAGCAAGCTGGTTAAAAATGCATTACAGCAAACCACTGCATAATTCAATCCCAACACAAATTGTGTTATCAACCCAAGATGTTTGAAATGTGAAATTGTTTTTTCTCAATATTTGAATGTTTTATCTAAAGTAGGACAAACTTGAATGTTATTCAATTGTGTGCACAGTATATGTCTCAAATAATTAAGTTTACCCAAATAATGAGAGGAAGATGATGGAGAAACCATTTACTTTGCTGTATTATCCAGGTTCAAATACACTTTGCTTTGATACCAAATGGAAAATGTGTTTTTCATTGGAATGAGAAAGGAGAGGAATCAAATAGTATTACTGCCCTTGCTGTTTGCCCAAAAAAGAATGCATGGTGCATTCAAATGTTGTGCCAGTGCCTTTTGTAGACCAAAAAGTACGGTACACTGCTGTTTGTGATTGAGATCAATACTATGCGGGAAGAATGGGTGAACATTTGTGTGGGTTTGAAAGTTTATGGAGAGATAAAAGTATTTGACAACAGTCAAAATATTTCCTAATGAGCGATGAATATTGGAAGGATTTTGCATGAAATAAATAAAAAATCTAGATAAGGAACCTGATTGTCACATTTTAATTTTCACTGTCACTGATAAACAGAAATGTGCACACAGCATAAACCTTTTAAATAAACAAAAATTTTTTCTGTGTCAAATCCATATAGATGGGATTACCCAGATAATGTGTGTGTACAAAGGAACAATTGTTATTCCTCGTATTCAGTCATAGTATTTGTTACTACAGTAGGTGGATTGTTGAAATTTCTCATAATTTGGTGCATCCATTAAGGCATCCTGGCTTCACCCAGACCTCTGCATCCTATTCTAATATATTTGATGCCAGAGCCCCAAAAAATAACCAAACGTGTCTCTGATCTTACAGTGGAGTTGCGGTTGTGTACAGGCAGAGTACTCAGAGAGCATTACAGAACAAAAGGAAGACATGGTGAACAACCCAAAAATGTCACAACAGGCACTTTATTTCTACCCAACAGTAGCCCAATAATAAAGTCAAATACTTTTTCTAATCCTTATCCCTAAGTCAAAACAAATGCCTGTTTCAAGACAAATGTCTCAGTATAACAAGTTAGTGCAAATTAGGAACTGCTATAGAAGTCTTCCTGTCAGCATGTCATCTACTGTACTTAACGTGTGATATTTGCTGTTAGAAATTCTTTTGGCATAGTGTAACCATGTTTTGCATGCAAGGATTTATACAATAGGCATGTCAATATGAACAAATCTGAGAGTTATACAGTTATATATACATTATAAATGCAGTTCCATCCATGTTGATCACAGAGGCTTACTCAATACAATTAAAGATATTATTTAAAAATCAACATTTTCATATGACCATTGTGTCCAAGCAACTGATAAAAACTGTAAATTTAGAGTAGAGATCATTCCTAGACATGATATGTCTGTAATTGCCATGTTTTGCAATCAAAATGAGTTCCTAATACAAGTGCAAAATGTAGGTTTGACACAAGAGGGCGGTATTACGTCACATTCATACAGATGAGGACCAAACTACATTAGAAAACGTCTCCTTTTTGTCTTTCTGCATGATACATTTTTATCATTATACCCTTGTGATTCTCCAACTTAAAAAGAGCATTATAATATAAGTTATATTTTAATATCCCATTTAGTTTCATTACACTGGTCTGGTCTCGGTTATGTTTATTGTGATGGCTAAACTGTTTAATATCTTGCTTTAGGATCTTAAAAAGCTTTTATTTGTGTAAGATTAAAACCTGTAAGAGACATGTTTTAAACGTCTAGCTCTCTTTCTAGACACTGCAGCAACAAATTAAAATCCAAAGAACACTAAAAAGCTCTTAACCCCAATAAAACATACAGCTTCTTCACTGTCTGACATTTTGTCAGTGAGTGACATTTCCTGCCTTGTCTGTGTGACCTCTGAACATGAACTTGCTCGACATCATCTAGCGTTGCTTTCCTGGAGTGGATTGTCTGGAGCTCATCTAGTCTCATGTCTCCGAGGTATGCTATCAGACTCTGTGGTAGACGGCCGTGCAAGGAGCTGATACACAAACCAGATGTGAGAACCGTTTGCCAGATGTGGCTGCTCTGCTTTGCTTCGCTCCAGTTAGGGGAGTCAAAGTGGTCAACCATGACTGGCTTTACTGGGGAGGATCGCTTTCACAGCACGTCATTGGCCAAATCAAACAAAAACAGAGAGAGCTGAGAGAGACAGATTGGCTGGAAAAAAGGAGATGAGTAATTATGATTAATAATGACTATCCTGAAGAGCCTGTAAAGGAGAGGAAAGAAAAGAAGAAAATAAAACTTTTTATACCATTTTTTTGTGTGTGACATTTAGAAGTTTATCTCTTGGCACTTACATATTGAATTCAATTTGGATTTTCTGACCCCAGCATTTGACAAGAAGGAGGTGACATCCCTTCAGAAACTTACGCTACATGTGACATCAGTGCATTATTTGTGCACCCGGTCATCCAGCCGTTACATACACTACTCAAAAAAACAAGGGAACACTTAAAGGCACTATATGTAGTTTTTCACTGAAGTCACTTATCAATACTGACTGTAAGCTCACTTAGAAATGAACAACACGCCTGTTTTCTCTGTTGCTTGGAACAGCCCCTATTCTGCTTCTTATGTGAAGGAATCAGGTCGGGTTGTAGCCGCACACACTCCCAAGCCTCTTGCTGCTGCAGATAACAAAATGGACTCCACTAACACCACCAAACAACCGGCTCCCAGCACAACACAGACTCCAACACAAACTCCCAACATGAACTCCACTTAAGGATAAAAAACAGCAATAAAGTTTTATGTGCTGAAGCCCATCAGGTCAAATGAGAATCAAATCAAAAAACACAGTCAACATAAGAAATGTTTGAGTCAAGGAGAAACCTCCGCTTTGATTTGAAACTGACAAAACCAACATAGAGTTGGCTTTCAGCCTATTGGAGAGGTAAACTAACATTACTGCAAAGCATGTGAAACATATCGTGATGTTGTGCTTTAGTTAGCTCAAGTTAGATAAAGTTTGCTTGCAGGCTAACGCCGAGCAGTTGCTAACGCCGAGCAGTTGCTAACGTTTTCTGGTGCAAAATACTACAGTTGTATGGCTTTCTACATTAATTCACCAGCTATATATAAATACTTTCCTGTGTACCACCAGTATTATGTCAAAGTGTTGTTTTTAGCCTGTGAGAAATTATGTAACGGTACAAAGCAAATGTGGAATGATTTGTTTGTATTAGCCAATAGGGATGCAAGGCAGAGACAGCCAGCTAACATTAGCACGGGTCTGCCGCCGTTTGCTTTGTAACGTTTAATTTAGATTTATTGCGGTTATATATTCGGTATACCTGTACCGATATACAGGTTCACAGCATCTCCACCATCTCAGTAGCTGTAACTTACGTGACCCACATAATATACAATAATGTAACATATCGGCGAAGGACAACAACACAGTAGAAGACCCACTCACTACAGTAACATTACTTACTGCAGTCTAAGTGTGGTAACAATCTCATTTACACTAATTGTTTTGTTATCATCCAGGACATTTAGCTGTGTTCACATTGCTGGGCCTCTGGTGGAAGATACACAGATAGTAATGTCAGTGACTGAAAAGCAGGTAGGCAATCAAGCACCGATGGATCATGTTGGCTAAATGCAGTCAATATAACAATATACCGTAACAAGCGTGGATTACTCCAACCTCATGCTGATGAAAACATTTCTGTGACATTGCAGATGGCACCGTTAGTGGTTTAAGTAAAACCACATATTGCCCTTTTAATCATCACAGTATAACATAATTACAATTAAACTTCAGGGATATCAATCTGTTCAGTTAGGAAGCATAAGCGATTGTGAATCAGTGTCACCTGTTTTGGTGCATATGAAAGCCACAGACGGTTGCTCTCTCCTTATCCTTCCTGACTGAGTGTTCTCTAGTTTTGAGTTTTGCTAGTGTCATTACCCAACGCATTCTCACCTCAGTGCATCATATGTAACTGACGCTTTCAGAAAGCATGACAAAGCGTAAGGATTTTATACTATAGGTACCCTAGTTTCCATATGAAATGCCTCCGTTACCACATTGCTGCAACTCAAAGGAGGCTAACCCTACCGGGTAGCACCTTGGCTGTGAGGCCGACATGCATAAAGTCATTGACTTACGTTTAGGTACTAACATTTCTGATGGTTATGGTAAGTGTAGGGGCTGTCAACACCGTTAACGCGAACGTACTTCCGGTCTGTACGGGACGCCCCAGAGCTTCTCATACAGATGCTTCTGGAAGCGTCTCCCAGTGTGTCAAATAACTACGTTTTGTCACTTTTTGTGCCCTGAGATGAAATGGAGTGCCTTATCACTACTGGTAGCATGAGGCAGTTCCTGCAGCCCATTCAGGTAGACCGGCTCCTCCAGGATGGCACATCCATATGTGCCATCTCAAGAATGTTTGCTGTGTTTCCCAGTCTCACAGTCTCAAGAGCATGGAGGATATACCAGGAGAAGGGCTGTAGAAGGGCACCAACCCAGCAGCAGGACCGCAATCTGCTCCTTTGTGCGAGGAACCAGAGGATCACTGCCAGAGCCCAACAATGATGACTTCCAGCGGGCTATTGGTGTGCATGTTTCTGACCAAACAGACTCCATGAGGGTGGCATTAGGGCCCAATGTCCTCCAGTGAGATCTGTGCTCATAGCCCAGCACCATGCAGCTCGACTGACATTTGCCACAGAATACCAGAATTGGCATGTCCGCAATTGGAGGATCTTTTCCCATATGAGGCAGGTTCACACCAAGCACATGTGACAGACGTGAAGGAGATGTAATGTGTGATTTAAGTGTATTTTGTCTTTCTCGAATCGGTGGGACACTTCAGGGGAAAAGAAAGTGAAGCGACAGCAGTTTGTTTGGAGTTAATCTTCTGTAACCAAATTGGCATCCTGTAAAGCTCACAGAGGTCTGGAGAAATTCAAACACATATTTGGTTAAGAAGACACAATGAGCTGTTGTTATACTTCAAACCAGTGAAATTACACAATGGAGAAATTGTTTGTACCCTGTTGGAACTCTCTTCCTTTTCTTTATTCCATGAGAAAGACTGCGGTGATTTAAAAGTAACTGTTTAAGGCTGCACTGTTCTACATTTTTATTTAAACAGTGAATATGAGTACCTGTAAAGTGACAGGACTTGTACATAGTGACAAACCTGCAAAGAATTATTAGCCGATCCCGCTGTTCCCTTCAGCTCTACAGGTAGCGTCTTTCAGCTAGTTGTTTTGGTTTTACAGACCTCGCTAACTGTTTTGGCTCACTCTCATCCACGGATTTGTAACCATTCTCATCAATGTTGCTAGACAGGGCAGGCAGCTATTTTTAGCGAAAAACGCTCTGATAAACCCAATGTATGCTATCTGCCCTACACCAAACAATAGACAGACAAAAGTTAGCAACTAAATGGTTAGCATAGTGGAGCACTGGCCACAAAAATGACTCCAAATAAATGCTAATGTTGCTCTGTGTCTGGTGGATGTGTAAATAGCAACTGTTTGCTAACACATTGGCCATATCAAGGTAATAATTTGTCAGTGTTGTGTTTACATGCCATTTGGCTAATAAAATCAATGTTTCCTGCTAT